CTTGCACTCATTCTCCCGCTGGTTCACGGGGCCCACACCATCCCCCACCCCCGTCTGTGTGGGGTGTGGAAGGCAGGTTTCTGCAAGGTAGGCCCCCCTCCCAGGAGCCCCCCCCTCCACCTACCCACTGAGTCAGGGGCCAGGAATGTGTGTGGAGGCAACAGACAGCTCTGCCGCCCTCGGGGTGTCGGGGGCTGATTCACCACCCTTCTCGCCCAGCCTTCTCCTTACACGGCTGGGAAATCGAGTCTGTCTGGAGATAAGGGAGCAGCCCTGGACGCCGGGAGGCGCGGGGCTCTTAAGTCTGTGAGCGAGATCCCTTATGGCAGCACGCTTCCGTGCAGAGCTGGTGCAAAGGGGGAGGGGGCGAGGGGGCACGGAACACACATCCCCCCCCCCCCCACCCGAGAGTGAAACTGACCCTCCGAGATCTCTTTATCTGACTGTGGAGACTTTCAGGGCAACACGGATGGCTTCTGAATTGGGGGGGAACCTCACACATTTCAACATCTTCCTTTTTGTGACCCACAAAGCAATGTGGACACTTGTGCATTGAGACTTTGGAAGAGCAGCTCCGTCTAGAGCTCCGGAATTCAGATCCCAGCACCCACAGAAAAAGCCTGTGCTGCACATCTCTCATCCCTGGGGCTGAGGGCACAGATCAGAGGGTCTTCGGGGCTCGCTTACCCATCAGAATCAGGTAACTCCGGGACAAGGAGGCATGCTGTTTTGAGGGCTGGCAGGATAGTTCAGTGGGTAAAGGCACCCTCTGGCAAGCCTGAGGACCCAAGTTTACCCCGTGCCTGTAAGTTGTCCTCTGCCACCTTTGCAATACATGTAGCCACTCACACACACACAAATAAACAAACAAACAAATAAATAGATGTAATAAAAATGTGTCTGAAGTTAGAAAGGCTAGTGAGATAGATAGCTCAGGGGTTAACTATGCTTACTGGCAGGGTGGTGATGGCGCATGCTTTTAATCCCAGCACTCAGGAGGCAGGGGCTTTTTAATTTTTTAATTTATTTTTAGTCTGTGTGCATTGGCGTTTCGCCAGCATGTATGTCTGTGTGAGGGTGTCGGATCCCCTGGAACTGGAGTTGCAGCCAGTTGTGAGCTGCCTTGTGGGTGCTGGGACTTGAGCCCAGGTCCTCTGGGTCTTAATCACTGAGCCACCTCTCCAGCACCCCAGTAAGAGCTCTTAAATGCCTTCCGTTATTTTTGAGGCACTGTCTCCTATAGTCCAGGCTGCCCTTGAACTTGAGCATAGTTGAGGCTGACCTTGAATTTCTGATTCTCTGCCCCTACTTCCCAAGGGCTGAAATTACAGGCAAGTGCTATCACACCCACCTAAACCCCCACGATTGTCAGCCTGGGCTTCACGTGGTGGCGGCACACACCTTTAATCCCAGCACTCAGGAAGCACAGGCTCAGTTCAAGGCCAGCCTGGCCAACAGGCTGAGTTCCAGGATGACCAGGGCTACACAGAGAAACACTGTCCAAAAACAACAAAACAAAACCCACCCAATCAGCTTGGGCGCCTGGAGTTGTAGGCAGCTCCCTGGCTGGAAGAGAAGGAACACAAAGGGAAATAGGACATAACTCCCCAACCTTGGCGGGATCGATACTGAGGAACTACACCTTACTCTGGGGTTCTTCTAAGCAGGACAGGAGACAGATGGGCACCCCAGATTGGGTGGGTCAGGGCTTGATAGCCGGTATAAAGGAAGAGAGAGAGAAAAAATCCAAACTAGAGCTTTGGTACTGTGATGGGGCTGACCGCCCTCCTTCTCTGGAAAATCTTCCCAGCCCATCTTTCCTTTCTCCTTTTCGTTAAGACCCTGGTGGGCTAAGACTGTGGGTGAGCGCTCCGCTAAGGTGAGCCGAGTGGGCAGGGCTCAGGGCCTCTGTCACCGAACTGGGAGCCTTTCAGGGGCCTTCTCCCAATGCCAATCCTACCTTCCAGCTACTGGGGAGGGCTCCAATTCAGAGATGAGAGATACTCAATCAGGACTCAGCAGGGACGGCCAAGAGGCTGGCATTTTGTGTGAGTTACCAAGTCGAGTTCCTGGAAAGCACTGTGGTAGCATGACTCTAGAACCTGAAGAATGTCACAGCTTTTAAAAACTTACATTTGCACGCCAGGCATGGTGGCACCTGCCTTTAATCCTAGCAGAGGCAGGCGGATCTCCGAGTTCCAGGCCAGCCTGGTCTATAGATCCAGTCTAGAACAGCCAAGGATACACGGAGAAACTGTGTACTGTGGTTTAAACGGGGAAAGCAAGGAGGCAGCTGGGATGGTGCCCCACCACCCAAGTGTGTTCGTGTACTTAGGTCAGATGACACCTTGCCTGAGTCAGTCAACCTGCAAGAATCAATTTTCTCCTTCTATCTGCAAGCCCTGGCTCGACCTCAGGTCATCAGGCATCTTTATCCACTGAGCCCATCTCACTGGTTTTTACCTTCCCCCCCGTATTTGTTTTGTTTTTGGTGTGTGTGTACTTTTTAAATTTTTATTTACATTTCATGAGCTTGGGAGTCTTGTCTGCATGTATGTCTGTGCACATGTGTGTTCTGGGACCTAAGGCGGCCAGAAAGGAGTATTCCATCTCCTGAAACTGAATTGACAGGCGACTGTGAACCGCTATGTGGGCGCTGGGAACTGAATCCATGAGAGCAGCTTTCTGTTTGGCAGGCTGACTTATTTTGAGACAGGGTTTCTCTGTGTAGCCCTGGCTGTTCTCGGAACTCTCTCTGTAGTCCAGGCTGGCCTGGAAGTCAGAGATCTGCCTGCCTCTGCCTCCCGAGTACTGGGATCAAAGGGGCGGGGCACCACACAGCCTTAATTTTCCTTTTCACTAGGAAGAGTAAAACATAACCTCAAGTTTGGTTCTATGAGGCGGCCATGCTGGCAGGTGGGCATTCTCTTAGGGGCACATCTCACACCGCAGGGCTTGGACCAGAAACCCCAGACAGCTCCCCCTTTCTGTACTGAATGTTCGTCTCAGCGCCTCAGTGCGAGAATACAGACCAGGAACTCCTACTGCTACTGCCACTCTCTCTGTTTATTCGAGACAGAGCTCATGTAGCCCAGGCTAGCCTGAAACTTGCTCTGTAGCGAAAGCTGATCCTCCCACCACTACAGACGCCCAGCACCTGGCCTGCCTGAGAGCTAAAAAACCAAAGAAACAAAAACCAAAAAAGCCTGCCACCACACCAAGGCCTTGCTACGCACCTCACGGTGGCCGCCGTGAACGCAGGCCGAGGTGCACGGCTGAGCTGGAAAGTCGAAGTGACACGCCTTCAGCCCCTGCACGTGGTTAGGGCCTGCGCTGGGGCAAACACCGACAGCCATGACTGCTGGTGTTATCCAAAACACAGACCCCCACCCACAACCCAGACAAGGCGCTTGCCCGGCAGCCTGGGCGTCAGGGTTCCTGCGCCGGGGCAAACACCGACAGCCATGACTGCTGGTGTTATCCAAAACACAGACCCCCACCCACAACCCAGACAAGGCGCTTGCCCGGCAGCCTGGGCGTCAGGGTTCCTGGGCTCTAGGCCCCGCAGGTGACTCACAGCAAGCCCCAGGCTGTGCCTCCTGGCCTCAGTTTCCCTGGGTCGCTCTATTGGTACGCCCCACCTACTGTGCAGGGCATTAATAGGGGTGAGGCGCTTTGAACTCCTCAGATGAAAGAGGCTGTGAAGCAGCACCCGCTTATTACCCCTCCGCAGCCCGCGTGGGGGCTGAGGCTGGCTGCCCTCTCCTGCTCTCGGCTGGGGCTGCCCACACTGGGGAGCAGAGACCAGCCACCAACTTCACTGCTGCTTCAGAACAGGCTTTCCCCAACCATGGAAACCCGCCACCGACCCAGCCGGTACTCATAAACCATGTACAGGTGCCTCAGCATCCTCAAGGGCTGACGGCCGTAGCTTTGCATCAATACATACACCAAAGAGGGCAGTCCAGAGTCAGCCGGCAAAGGGAGCTCTGAGGGAGCCAGGCCAGTGACATTCCCTACTCTTGTCTCTGGGTCGCTCTGAGAGCCATGTGAGGATTCTACATGTGCAGGCTCCTTGCCAAACCCCGTGTACATGTAGCTGCAAAGGGCCCACAGTTAAAGCCAGAAAAAGTCTTCTGGTACAAGCATCCCCTTGACCATCAGGCCCTTTCTAGCAGGCTATAAGGGCAAAACTAAGTCTTTGGTGCCACCTACTGGCTAAAAGTGCAAACTGCAGTCCCCCAGCCGGACAAACAGCAAAGACTGAAAACATCATCAGTGTTTCTTTCCGGACAACTGTCCTGGTATACATTAAATATTTTTTCTTACACAACTCACTTTGCACAAATCTTCTTCAGACACTTTTCTTCATATAGCCCAGGGTGGCCTGAAACTCATTATATAGCCAAAGCTAACCTTAAAGCCCTGATCCCACAGTCTCCATATCTCAAGTGTTGGGGTTAGAGGCCCTACCACAGGATTACAATCACTTCCTTTTTGAAGAATCTTCTCTCTCCCGGCAGTGCTGGGGTTGACCCTGGCACATTGTGTATGCTGGTTTCTACTGAGCTACATCTCCAGCCCAAGTTATGTTAATCTTTCAAACTTTGGCTAATACTTGCTAAAAACAGAATAAAAGAATGAAATACACAGGATACGAATAAAGCATTAAATAAGCTCTGGGAGGAGGCGTTGCCTGTGGATGCCTGACCTTAAAGCTCACTGTTAGCATTGAAGAAAGGCCAGATCACAAGTGCACACGCTTATAATTTGCCTCAGGTGAGGCTGTGTGAAACACTGACCCCAACGAGATGGCTCAGCGGGTGAAGACCCCTGTCACCAAGACCTGGGACCTGAGTTCAAGCCCCAGAATCAGAAAAGAACAAGTCCTCACAAGCAACCTGACCTCTACAGGCATGCCTGCCCCCCCCATACCCACAGCCACACACCCACAGCCACACACAATAACATGTAATTAAAAAGAAAATAAAGAAACAGGATTATTTGGAGGGACAGAGACATTTCTTTGTTCTATCCCAAATCCCTGCGTCCAGAGGGTTGAAGAAAAGTTTGAGGTCACAAAAAATAGAAAATCATCGCAGAGCATATTGCGGCATTGCCCACGTAGAGGCAGCTCTCAAGTTCTCGGCAGCATTTCCTGGGGCAGGGCTCCGAGCCTGAGGGCACCGCAGACAGCGCTAGCCTGGCTTTTCCCTCAGAAGTCCTTTGTAGGCATGGCTGGCTCCTCCCGGCCTCTGCCCCGCCTGGACGCAGCTTTCCAGTGTGTACCTGCTGAGCTGTCCAGTTATCCAGGCCCCGCGTTACAGCTGCATGGCTTCCTGCTCTGTGGTCTTGTCTGCAGATGCCAAGTACTTCTCTTGGATGCCCAGGGTGCTGAGGGAAGGGTGTCAAGGCTGACAGCGCAGGCAGAAGATGGGGGACTGGCTCGGCAGGATCTGACCTCTGACTTGTCTGCCCGAGTTTCCATACATCCCTTTTACTGGGCTCCTGCGTCTTCCCCACACAGACTATAGCAAAGGCCCAGGGAGCACTAGCCCCCCAGCTTTGTGTGGCATATGCTCTAGAGCCAGAGCAGGGTGTTCAAATCCTGCTCCTGCCACTTCCCTTTTCTCTTAAGATCACAGGAAAGCTGAGACCATAAAATGAGTAGGGCGCCTCCCTGACACCCGGCACACAGCAGGTGCTCAGTGACTGCCGTTTTCTCCTTTTCCTACCAAGGAAAGAACCCTACTCTTCTCGGGTGACAGGGGACAGGACGCTGCTAACACTGGCTACACAGGAGCCACCTATCGCTCTGGCCCTCTCACTGGGGACTGCATGCTCTATCACCACCATTCTAGCTACCTGCCTCAGGGGCCTGGCACAGATCGCTACTATCACCTGGAATCATCTGCCTCCACACTCCAAACCCCGGAATGTCCACCTCCAGCACCCCAGGCAAATGCTCTGTCTCTGAGACCATTGACCTGAAGGACCAGGCCTTTCCTTCCTGCCACTGACCCAAAGAACACACAAACTGATCAAAACCACAATGCCGAAGGTCCAGCTGCCTTCTGCACAGCTCTGGTTGTCCAGTGGCGAGTTCAAACCCAGCTCAACTGCCAGCTCAACCTTTCTAAAGGTAGACCTGTCTCCTCTACCCCACGATCACTCTGTCACTAGCTGTCCTAATCTACCTCTTCCACATTCTTCAACCCATACTCTTATTTTTTGAGACAGGCTCTTAACTTTGTAGCCCAGGCTAGCCTCAAGCTTATGGTGATCTTTCTCCCTCAGTTTCCTAAGTACTGGTTCACAGGCAGAAACCTCATGCCTGGCTCCTTCTATTTCACTACACATTTTATCTAGCACAACTTTAAGAACTCTGATGCTCCTAATTACACTCATTAGTTCATTTTCCACGCTTACAGGGGCTTTCCTAGAATGCGTGTCAACTTTTAGAAAACTGGGGACGAAGATCAGGATTTTAACACGCGCCTGCACCACACAGGCTGCTATAGGCCAGCTAAGGGTAGAGAGACCATGTCTCAAAAAAAACAGCAACCAGTCCTTCCCCTTCAACTAATGTCTACAGAATCCCCCCAACCACCTTGGTGCCTGGGATCAAACCCAAGGCCTCACGGCATCAGGCAAGGATTCTATCCTGAGCTACACCGCAGCTCCCACTTACCCTGGCCAAACCTCTTTTCCCTTTGCAGGTAGCACAGCTAGAAAATGAGCCTCTTACACTTCTCCCAAGGCCCAAAGCCATTTGTTTCTAGGCTTCTATGCCTGTGATTCTTCTGTTAGCTCCTCCAATTTCCCTAAGGATACGAGGAGAAGTGGAAGTCAGCTCCCATCGCAGCAGACATCATGGCCTCCAGGCTTCGTTGCTCCTGAACCCCAAAACAGTAGCCATTGGCTTTATCCACGGCCTGTAAGACTCGCTGGATGCCGTCCTTGTCCTGAGCAGAGAAGAGAAGTAGCTCAATGAGGGAATGAGGTGTGGATAGCTGAGGCCATGCCTCAGTGCCCACGAGAGTTCCACATATGCGGCTTCCTTGGCCTAGACCATTCCCCACTCACCAGACAACTGCCCAGATGAGAAGAGACCAGCTCCTCAGTGCAGTCACTGCCTGGGGCTCTCTCCTACGGCGGCAGCCCTACCTTCCTAGAAAACTGTTCTCTTGCTGAGCCACACAGCCTTCAAGGCAGAAGCAGCGAAGGTCAAGGCACCTTCAGTGTCTGCACAGCACTACTGTCAGGGAGGCACCCAACAAACGCCTGTGTTATTTGGCCTGTCAGGGTTTCCTCATCCACACACCACAGCGAGGGCAGTCCATGTATCTCAATGAAATACGCAGATCAAGAGAACGCATGCCCAGTACTCAGCACAGAGCTGGCAGGGAGGGCCTTGAGCAAGTGGTGGCTGGCATGCGCACCCTCTCCTTCTCATGCTGAAGGAGGCAAGGATGATGTCAGAGCAGGTCCCGCCCTTCCTAACACTGCTGCCCTTTGACCCAGTGGGGACCACCAATCATGAAATGCTTTTGTTGCTACCTTATAACTGTAAGGTTGCCACTGTTCCAGGAAGAACCACTTTGTCAGAGGGAGAGCCAGGTTAGCTGGAGTCTCCCATCGCAGAAAGAAATCAAGAGCGGAGTCTCCTGGCTTATCTCTGCTTCAGAAAGATCAGCGGCAGAGGCTGGGGGCTGCTCTGCAAGCTCAATACAGTCGCTCAGCTAAATGGACCCAAAGAGTTAAGCTGTCCCCTTGGCCCTGGGTCAACCTCTGGCTGCTGACTCTCTGGCCTCACTCATGCTCTTCACACTTAAGAGGGAACAGATGCAAAGAGGCCTCGGTGATCCGAATCAACGGGACTAAAGTCCAGTCTATGCTTTTACTGCAGCAAGCCAAGGAAGCCCGAGGACATCCAATGTTTTGTATATCCTTAGCATGTCAGCGCTGCAGCCACCAGGAAGAGACCGTTACTGTCCAATACCTGGATGTTCAGGGGGATGAAGGAGACCAGGCTGTAGTCTTCAATGAGCTGTACCAGTTTCTCATTGAGCTGCCGGTAGTGACTGAAGAAAGGGTCAGAGGCCAGGTGCTCAAGGAGGTAGGAGAGGTCCAGGACTTCTGTGTAGTAGTCCAGGTTGAAGGCTGAGGGGAGAGACCAGGGTTAGAGGCCGCTGACACTAGGCTTAAGACCTCAGGCTGGGGGCTGGAGAGATGGCTCAGCGGTTAAGAGCATTGTGTGGTCTCCCAGAGTTCAATTCCCGGCAACCACATGGTGGCTCACAGCCATCTCTACCAGGATCATGTGCCCTCTTCTGGCGTGCAGGTGTACATGCAGGTAGAGCACTCCTACCTAAAATAAGGAAGTGAAATCTTGAAAACAAAAACAAACCCTCTCACAACTGGAGGGGCCGAGGGAGCACACAGAACAGTAACAGACAGGCACAGCATCTGCAAAGGCCTGGGCTCTTCGCCTAGCACCTGAAGAGGGATTAAAAGCCATAAGGAGGGTTGGGGATTTAGCTCAGTGGCAGAGGCCCTGGGTTCAGACCTCAGCTGTGGTAGGGGGTGGAGAGGACAACACCCATAACCAATGGGCTTGAGGCCAGGCTAGTGCCTGGCACACGGGAGGGGCTGGAGTCTGTCCTGGCACCACGAGGGAAGAAAGACCCAAAGCCTGGGACTCTATCTCATTTGTCTCTGTCATTGTATTTTCTGAGACAGGGCCTCACACCTCAGCTCTGGCTAGCCTGTTACGATGTAGCTGCCCAGCTGGCCTTCACAGCACTTCTGCCGCCTTGCTGAGATTACCACATGAGCCTCCCACTGGCCTCCATTATTTTCATTCACTAAAATATTTGTGCTGCAGTGAAATGATGTCATTAAGAACAGAAACTGCCAGGCTGGTGGAGGCGCAGGGCTTTAATCCCAGCGCTTGGGAGGCAGAGGCAGGCAGATCGGAGTTCAAGGCCAGCCTGGTCTACAGAGTGAGTTCCAGGACAGTCAAGGCTACACAGATAAACCCAGTTTCGAAAAACCAAAAAAAAAAAAAAAAAAAAATTAAACGAGAGAAGAGAGAGAGAAAGAAAGAAAGCGAGAGACTCACTCAGCCTGCTGGTACAAGCTGGTAATCCCAGATAAAAGGGAAGCTAAGTACATAAGGGTTGGAAGTTCAGGTTTGCCTAGACTACAGAATAAATTTAAGGCCAGTCTGGCCAATTTAGTGAGACTCTAATAAAAATGAAAGATGGCCTGAGACTGTTCAGTGAACAGACGCTGTGGGTTCGAGACTAGCCTAGTCCACAAAGTCCAGGACAGCCAAGGCTACACAGAGAAACCCTGTCTTGAAAAAAAAACAACAAAAAGCCCCAGCTTTCAATTCCAGTATACACAAACAACAAGGCACTGATTCCTTCCTTCCCTTTCTAGAGAGGGTCTCATGCAGCCCAGGTTGGTCTTGAACTCCCGATCCTCCTGTCTTCATCTCCAAGTGCTGGGATTACAGACATGCAGCACCACCCCGGCTAAAATGCTGGACTTCATCTACCATTTTAGGCAGCCATGTGGACAGGTCCTTCCTCAACAGGCCTGTTGAGAGGACTACAGCTTGTAAACCCATCACCTGCATGGTACACAGAAGCAGTGAGTTAATGGCCGCACACACCAGTGTTCGTGCCAAACAGGTTCTGAGTACTCTGCTCACTCCCTGCCTCAGGAAGGCTGGTCAGAACCCAGGGGCTTAGCATGTACACTGGGGGGGGGGGGGGGGGGGGG